GAGACCCAAACACAAATTCCAGCAGCCAATGCTATAGGAATGCTACAGCAAGCAATGTTTCGAAATTAAGTTCCACCATCTATTTTGAAGGCATTCCTCTCGGACTTCACCATTGCACTATCTTATAGCTTTCCACCCATATCTCTATGCGGTGTCCGGACCGGGGATAGTGACACGATGGTGTTTTCAAAATATATGGATAAACAAATCTTTTTGTTAAAAATCACTCTCTCGAGTCGATTCCCATATCATTCGAGTTGGTGTGTTCTTGATAGTTCATCTCTGAATCTATCACACTTTGACACTTTTGAAGAGCGACCAACCCATCGGAAGCTAAGTTTGAAAAACATAAATGACAAGTCTCCTTGTCGGCAACTTTCTCAAATCTACCTCTTATGTCATCCAAGTTGATGTGCTTATTAATGGCTTATCTCTAATTCCATCGCACTTTAACACTTTCGAAGTGATCAACTCGTCAAGAAGTGTGCTTGGTTTTATAAAAACTCGAATGAAACAATGGAACGTCGTTTACGAAAACACTTAGCTACTTTCGTTCAGTTTGAAAATCTCACATTTCCGTCTCACACCCAAGCTATAAAAGCTTAGCTACTCATAACGGAAAGTAAAAAATAAATGACGGAAAATAAAGACATAAACGTAAATTGCGTAAAGTAAATGACGAGAAAATAAATTACGGGAATGTAAATGACGAGAATGTAAATTGCGGAAAATAAATGACGGAATGTAAATGACGAAAATGTAAATGACAATAATCGTAAAGAAACGTAAAATAAAGAGCGAAAAATAAAAGACGAGAATATAAATGAAGAAAAAGATGAAAAACTTAAAAGCTTAATAAAAACCACCGTTGGAGAGGGTTTACTGTTGGATCTGAAATTCAACTTTGATATTGGTCTAATACTCTAGATAAGCTCTAAAAACAATTGAAGTGCAGCGGAAACATTAATAAGAGCAAAACAGAGTAAATACACCAAGAACACACAGTCTAAATGAGGAAGAAGATGAATGCAGGAGAATTGCTTCAAAGGTTTTTCAATCAATTCAATTGAAAATTTGACGATTACAATACAGGAAGCACCACCGATTACAAAGGTCCTATCCGCTATTTATACTAGATCCTAACGACCTTACTGACAAGATCTTGAC